CATCTTTTCTCCTCAAGCCCTCCCCTACCTTTGCTATTACTGCAGAGGGCAGTGCCATCCTCCCAGTCCTTCAGGCTTGCAACCCAGGAGTCATCCCCAACTCTTTCGTATCTCTCACCCTTCTACTTCCAAGCCGTTGCCAACACCTGCTGATTTCACCTTTGCAATATCTCCTGAATATGCTCCCTTCTCTCCTCTGACACTGCTACCACTCTAGTGCAGGCCCTCATCACTGATTACTGCAGTCGCCTGCTGGGGGGCCTGCCTGCCTCCAGTCTCTCCCCACTCCAATCCACCTTCCATTCAGCCATTGAAGTGATTTTCCTAAAACACAGATCTGATTGTGTCACCCTACTCAATAAACCCCAGTAGCTTCCTATTGCCTCTAGGAGCAAATACAAAATGCTCTGTTTGGCATTTGAAACTGTTCAAAACCTAACCCCTTCCTACCTTTCCCATCTTTTTTTTTAATTTAATAAATTTATTTTATTTTTAATTTATGAAATAAAACAAGCATTTCCATAACATAGTAGAATAAAAAAAAGTCTATTGCACATGAAGCTACAAATCTATTATGTACAATTCACTATTCCTTTGAAATATATAATAAAGTTATCATGTAACTTTCTTTTTTTTCTTTTTTCTTTCCCCCCACCTTAGAGATGGCTACCATTAGACATAAATATGTTTTATATGTATATGTAAAATCATTCTATATATACTTCTATTAATCAATTGTTTCTCTGGATGCATAGTGCTTCTTCCTTCGTATGTCCTTTGTAGTTAATTTGGGTATTTATAATAATCAAAATTACTTAGTCACTCAAAGTTCTTCTTAAAACAATATTGCTGTTACTGTATACAACTTTTTCTTGGTTCTGCTCATTTCCCTCTTCATTATTTCATGCAAGTCTATCCGTCATCATTTCTTACAGCACAGTAGTATTCCATCACAATATCATATACCACAACTTGTTCAGCCATTTCTCAATTGACAGGCATCCCCACAATTTCCAGTTCTTTGTCACCACAAAAAGAGCTGCTATAAATACTTTAGAACAAATAGGTTCTTTTCATTTTTCCCTAATCATCTTTGTAAATAGAACTAATAGCAGTATTACTGGGTCAAAGGGTATAGAGGCCAGGGGTGGAGAACCTGCAGTCTCGAGGCCACATGTGGCCCTGAGGGTCCTCAAATGCAGCCCTTTGACTGAATCCAAACTTCACAGAACAAAATTCCTTAATAAAAGTATTTGTTCTGGAAAACTTGGACTCAGTCAAAAGGTTGCACCCAAGGATCCAGAAGGCCATACGTGGCCTTGAGGCTGCAGGTTCCCCACTCTTGGTCTATGAAGTTTAATAACTGTTTTGGCATAATTCCAGATTGCTCTCCAAAATGGTTGGATCAGTTCACAATTCCACCAACAGTGAATTAGCATCACAATTTTTTTATATCCCCTCCAACATTTGCCGCTTTTCCTTTCAATCATTTTAGCCAGTTTTCTTTCCTGTCTTCTTACACCTTACACTGTGACATGTACTCTTTGATCTAGTGACACTGGTCTCTTGGTTGTTCTACAAACCAGACACTCCATCTTTTGGTTCTGGGCCCTTTCTCTGGCTGTTCCCCTGTGCCTGGAATGCTCTCCTTCCTCATCTCCACCTCCTGGCTTCCCTGGCTTCCTTCAAGTCCCAACTAAAATCCCATCTTCTACAGGAAGCCTTCCCCAATCCCTCTTAATTCCAGTGTTTTCCCTTTGTTAATTATTTCCTATTTACCCTGTAGATAGCTTGCTTTGTATATGTTTGTTTGCAATTTGGCTCTTCCATTAGACTGTAAGTTACTTGAGGGGCAACTGCCTTTTGCCTCTTTTTGTATCCCTAGCACTTAGCACAGTGTCTGGAACATAGTAGGTGCTTAACAAATGTTTATTGAATTAAATTGAATTGAGGTGAGCAGTGAGGTCATTCCAGGTGTAGTGTATAGCCTGTATGCAAAAACAAAAACAAAAACAAAAACTACAGAGTTAAGAACTGAAGTGTGTGTAGCAGAACATCAAGTTGGCCAATTGGCAGGAATGAAAAATTTTCTAGGCAGAGTGGATAGAGCACTGGGCCTGAAATCAGGAAGATCTGATTTCATATCTGACCTCAGACACATACTAACTATGTGAGCCTGGGTAAGTCACTTAACTTCTGTTTGCCTTAATCCACTGAAAAATGAAATAGCAAACCGCTCACTAGAGTGAGTGGTTTCTTTGCCCAAAAAATCCCATACAGTATCATGAAGAGTTAGACACAAATGAATGACTGAACAACAACATGGCTGATAGGGAGCCATTGATGTTTCATGAGTGGGGGATTTATATAGTCAAGTGAAGATTTTTTATAGATGGGGGAGGCATGGGCATGTTTGTAGGCAGTAGGAAAGCAGCTAGTGGACAGAGAGAAATCGAAGCTAGTGAAAGTAGGAATGATAGAAGAACCATGACGAAGCATGCAATTCACCTCCTGTCAGAAAGGTGATAGATTCAGTGATATGGATTGAGATGTATATTTTTTTAGATATGGCCAATGTGGAAATTAGTTTTGTTTGACCATTCAGATTAGTTGCAAGGGTTTTGTTTTTCTTTTATTTCTTTCCAGCAACGGGCAAGTGGGAGGAAGAGAATATAGGTTTTTGTTCAAATTTAATTTTAAAAAATCATGGAAATAGAACACTTGTGGTTGATGGCAGGATCAAAGAAAAGACCATTTCTGTGAGTAGCTGAAGTGGAAGAGTATGTCATGAATAACTTGAGGAATTGGCAAGTTAAGGCATTTGAGAGATCATCAATATACATGTTAAAGTCCCCTGGCATGAAGGGAGAAGTTGGGATTGAGCCAGAGATGGTAAGCCAGGCACTGAACTCATTGAGGAAGGTAGAATCATGCCCTGGTGGGCAGGTAGATAACAGCTTCTACTATCTTGATTGACTGATAAATATGAATTGAATGAACCTCCAAAAAAAAAGGGGTTACTGAGTTATGATGGTACAGGTGATAACTGTGAGCAATGAACATTCTAGCTCCTCCACTACAAAGTGGATAGGGAAAAGGGCGGAAATGAGTGAAACTCAGTGAGAGCCCAAAAGATGGAGGGAGTAAGAAAGGAAAGGCTTAAGGTGAAAGCACCTTTAACTGGAGGAGGTGTTCCAGAGAACACAGTGGAAAGGTGAGTAGATCTAATGGGGTCAGTGCAAAGTTAGAGGTAAAGACAATGGGAATATGGAAAAATGCAGTGAGGGGTTGGGGAATAGCTGTCACTGTACAACGACAGCTAGTGGTCTAGGTGTTCAGAATCATGAGTGGAAATAAGTGAATCATTGAGGAATGAATCTAGGCAAGTTTTCTGTGACTTGAGTAAAGTTCATTGAGGAAGGTAGGTAATTAGATTGTTCAAGGTCCTACATTAATGTCCAATCTTGTGGCAAGTGGTAAAGTTGGCCTTGTAAGGAAGACAGACTCATAGCAAGTAGAAGCAAACAAAGGTACAGCCTAGGAGAGTCCAAACAGGAAAGGGTAAGGGAACAGACATTTATTAAGCACCTACTATGTGCCTAAGGAGGCAGAAGTGGCACGTCCAGGTAGGATCTGATCCTGGAACAGCCTCTGGAACACCCTACACTGTATCCCTTAGGGATCTGCTCTGTTTTGAAGGATTCAGAGATCACCTATTGCAGCTGCCTCTCAGAAACAGATGTCCCATAGACAACCTCAGTATGTCCAAAATAGAACTCCCAGTTCCCCTAAATCCTCCCCTCTTCTGAACTTCCCTTATTACCCTTGAGGGCACCACCAATTTTCACAGTCACTCATACTAGCAACTTTGGTGCTTTGAAGGAAACTAGGGATTCTTAGAGGCAACTCTGAGGAGAGAATGCATTGTAAGGCTAGGGGTACAACCAGTGGGGGGAGGAAGGGAGAGAGAGAGAGAGACAGAGGCAGAGACAAAGAGAGAGAGAGAGAGAGAGAGAGAGAGAGAGAGAGAGAGAGAGAGAATGAGAATGAACGTCCCATGTCAGAAACAGTAAATGGCTTTAAAGGCCCTGAAACGGTGTTCTTTAGCCAGTACCTGCTTTCCACTTCCTAACAGTTTTAACTCAGAGCCCTTACGATTTCCCAGATTCCAAAGATGAATTGGGACCTCTCTCAACTTAAGATCTTTGGATGGACAATCCATCAAAAGAAAAATTCTCAGTTCCTGTAAAATGCACTGAGTTCCTCAGAGAAAATAACTACATAACAGCACCATTCACAATCCAGTGAATCCCAGAGGAAAGAGGGAATTTGGGATTTGGAGCCATTGCACGCCCTGATATAGGGGGCCCATACATGGGATCACATGATCGTAGATTTAGTCCTGCAAGGGACCTTGGAGATCCCTTCACAGAAGATATCTTAAATTGTTGTTAGACACTGAAGAGCCAACTTCCCTCCTCTGGAGCGGGGAGGGCGAGAGATATGCCAGCTTTCACAAAACCAGCGCTAAAAGTCCAGCTGGTGGGAAAGGTGGAGGGGTGCAGTGGAAAGAAAATGAAAAGGTCCTTCCTTAAAGATTGTGGAGGAGGGGAAGGTAGAGAGGCTGAAGGCAGCCACAAGTTGCATAGAGGGTTCCCGGTGGGGCTGGAACTAAGGGAAGTGGGGGAAAGGAGACAAGGCTGGGCAGCCCAGGACAGAGGCGGGGTCACGGACTAGCCCTAGACGCTCCACCTCTTCCCCTACCCGGGACTCCTCTCCTCCCCAGAGGAAGGCAGAACAGAGCCACCAGAGCCCGAGGCAGTGACGGCTCGACCCTGAGTTGGGCGCAACAGGTCTGGCTTTGGGGGCTTGGGAGAGGGTAGGGGAGAAGCCAGGAGAAAAGGGGAGGAGAAAAGAGGACAGGGCAAGCAAGACAAGGCAGGGCAGAGCGGGGTGGGGTGGAACTGGCTGGGCTAAGCTATTTGAGGGAGAAAACGTCGGCCCCTCCTGCGGAGTCCCCAAATTATTAGTAGCCTTCTCATGAGCAATATAGCTTGGAAAGAGGGGGCATGAGAGAAAGGAATGAAATCTAAGAATGAGTTGAAGCAGACCAAAACAGGCTTAGAGCACAGACTTTTAACTGGCATCTTGGATCAGGGTAAGTTGCCAAGAGGCTTCCTGCCTCTTGACAGTTCCAAAACCTATCATCCATACCCCTTGACAACCCGCCGTCTCTCATTATCCTCCAGGTTGGGCTTTCTCCAGCCTTTCTGCACTTTTAGGCCAAGAAAGCTAGAGGAAGTAGTGGTCCTGGGAATGGGGGAGAGGGAAGGGGGGAATGAGGAGGAGTTAATACTTCTGACAAAATAAACTGTTGCTAGGGTTAAGCAGAGAGTGTGAGATTTTTCAGAAATAATGGTCTTTAGGCTTAGTCACTGTGTCATTTGTAGGGAGTCAGCGAAGGTTGGGCACAAGCAAGCCCCTTGTTATCCAGATCTGAACTTATCTGAAGCTAAGTTTCCTATAGAGCCCTTGTTGTCCTGGAGTCCTGGAGTCCTGGAATCCTGGAGTCCTGGAGTCCTGGTTGGGTCGTCCAGGATAACAGCTGCCAGTTTACACTGTCACCCAATAACTGCTACCACACCATTTTCCTTTGTACTCTTATAATAAATGTCTTAATTATTTTTACCCCATAGCCTATTCTTGATTACCATATTTCTCATAGTATCATGGATTTAGAGCTGGAAGGGACCATGGAGGCCATTTACTCCAACCCTCCCATTTTACACATGGGGAAACTGAGTCCCATAAAGGGATAATAGGATGATACGATTTCCAAAGTCATACAGGAAGTAAAGGGCAGAGCTGTGATTCAAACCTAGGTCATTTGATTCCAAATCCAGGTAGTTTTCACTGTACTATGCTGTCTCTTTGGCACACCTTGATTTCCAGGTTGTGTTTTGCTTGTGTTTTAGAGTTTTGGAGGAAAGGAGGGAGAGATTTCTACCTTGCTCAGTTCATATATGACTAATAAATGAAAAATTGTTTTCATATCAGTCTTATCAAAACTCCCTCCACTGTTGCCGGAGAGTAAATACACTAAAAAGAAAAATAAAAATGTAGTACATTCCAAAGCCATGTATGCATATGTGTGTGTGTGTAGTTTATGTGTATATGTATATATTAGGGGGACATATATATGTGTGTGTATGTATGATTATTGTGTTTCCTACTGTTTAAAGATGTTCTTAATTACAACTCCTTTTTATTTCCATGTGTAATCAATAGTTCTTAGGATCATAGATTCAGAACTGAAAGGGACTTTAGAAGCCTTCTAGGCTCACCCTCTATAGTTAAAACAAGATTCAATGACTTACCTAAGGTCACACAGGTAGCGAAGAGCAGATCTAGGGACTTTATTCAATTTATCTTTTTTTTAAAATTATTAATACCTTTTGTTTTTTACCCTACATCTGTTTCTGAATATATCCCTTTACCCTGCAATCCATTGTAAAAGAAAAAAAAACATTTTAAAAGAGGAAAAGAAGTAATTCAACAAATCTAACAACACTCAACTGTGTCTGAGAGTATATGTATGCATTTTCTTCCATGTCTTCATATCATAACCATAAACCAGGCAATTATTTATGTAACTCAATACTTACCAGTCTAGGAATGGTTCCAACAGGTATTTATTTGCCCGGTCTTCATAGCATGACTTTTCTAAAGTATTAATGTCCCTGTTTAGTTGTAACAACTTTAGAAAATGTTTTTGTTTTACTAAATTCTCAGTGAACTGAAGAGTAGACATTTATCAAGGATTATGAAATAATGTCGCAATGTTCTTAGAATATTTGCGTTTAAACAAACCCAAGCTGTTAGCAGGTTGTCAAGAATTATGACTCCTGCCACTACTACCATTAACCATAACAGCAAAAGCAGAGGCTCATAGAATTAGAACTAGAAGGCACTTAGACATCATCTAGTTCAATTCTTTCATTCTACAGATGAAAAACTGAGGCCCAGAGAGCATAAATGACTTATCCAAAATAATACAAGTTGTATGCAGCAGAGTCAGCATTGAAACCCAGGTCATCTGACTCCAGATCCATTGCTATTTTCATTGTCCCATACTACAGCTTACTTCAGGAGATCTATGGTGGCTCAAAAAGAGACTAATCTCATAACCCCCTTAGAAAAAAAAGGAAATGAATGAAGAATGCATATTGCCAACAACAACAATAGTAATAGAAGAACAACAATATCAACAACATAATAGTACTACCTGTTATGAATCCCTTCAAAAATTGGTGTGAAATTTGGAGTAACAAAGTGAAAGGTGGATTCAGGATTATTTTTCAAATGAATGGTCTTCTTTTGAGAGGCAAAAACAAATATGATCCCTCTAGGACAATTATTTTGTAGTATTTATGGAATAGGGCAAGCAGGGTTCAACCACTACTATTTGCCCTTTCTTCACTCTACTACTGACCACTACTATAGGATACCTACCTTTTCATCTATTATATAATGTAGTTCTATCAATACTCACAGATTTTTTTTTATTTGGAAAAAAGTAAGATTCTCATATAATTTTTTTAAAAAGTTTACCTTTTCATCATATAGAATTCCTGATGTAAATGAAAGTTATATCAAAGGACCTGTTCTTTTCTTTTCTTTTCTTTTTCTTTTTCTTTTCTTAGCTCTGAGCCCCCAGTCAGAATCTTAACTCTAGCAAAACACCTACATGCTAGCTCCCATCTTTCTCTTCCCTGGGGATATTTTCCCCTCAATTGCTCTCTTTTCCCAGTTAGTACACTCAGACTCATTTAGGCCTGTGGTTAACATTGTTTATAAAGACATAATAAGCATTTTGACTTTCTGGTCCCCACAAGGAAAATGAAGCAACCTTCCTAGAGCCCTGGTTGGCTTTCTATTGCTATTCATAAGCCTCTTCTTCCTCTGGCCTCAGCTATTATCCTTGATTGGACTATTGCTTTATTCTTTCAGAAAGAACAAGGATAAATTTCTGCTACCTTGGTACTTTAGTTCTAAGACTTCTCATCTCCCAGGCAAGAAGCTAGAGGCCTAAGAAATCCCATTAACACAATGCCCTTTAGGTTTAACCTTCATTCAATAACCCTTCTGAGCGCCCTAGTGAATGACCTATTCCTAACTCATGGTGATTTGTTAGTACATTTCCCAGATCTTCATCACTGCAGACTAGGCTAAAACCAGGCAATGATGATAAACTTCAAATCACCAAACCTAGTCTGGAGTTCAAGATTACCCAGTTTTTTAAAACTTTAAGCCTCTCCTCTTAGTCTATGCAAATAAGTGAATGGGAAAAAGTTACAGAGTCAGTCTATACCCAGGGCTTAAATTTATTATTGCTACTTGTAGTTCAACTGCTTTATTGGTCTTTTCACATGAAAATGGGCTACTCAAAGTCTTGTATCTTTTGAATGGTGAGAAAGAGCCTACTCAAAAGTTTTAGCTCCTTTACAAGGTACAAAGTGATCCACTCAAATCTGAAAGGGTAACACTCTTATGCTTTTTCCTCCATCTTTTGGGAATTTTTCCAAATAAAAATTTTAATTAAGCTTCTCTGTGTTCACAGGTATAGGATGAATACCTACCTTTTCATTTATTATTTAATCCAGTTCTGTGGACACTCATGGATATTTACAAATATGACAGTCAGATTTTTTTCATTTGGGAAAGGTAAGAGCCTCAGATTATTTTTTTTAATGTTTACCCTTTTCACATATTCATATCACACATTTTTCATTTCTGTGCTCCTCACCTTTTAACCTTAAATGTCTCTCACAAGCATATTGTCAATTACTACACTTTTCCTCAAAAGTCAAACTTTTTTATTTTGCCCTTAATGTCCATCAAATTCAACTGTTTTATGTGTCTACCTCTTGATCAGGAAATCTGCCAGCATAAAATCAAGACACCTAGGTGGTGCCATTGATGGAGTGATGGAGCTGGAGTCAGAAAGATCTGGCTCAAATCCTAACTCAGACATGCACTAGGCTGTGTGACTCTGGTCAGGCTGCTCAGCCTCTGTTTACCTCAACTGTAAAATGAGAATAATAATAATAGCACTTACCTTCCAGGGTTTGGTGAGATCAAATAACATGGTAATTATAAAGTGCATGACACAGTGCCAGGCACATAGGGAAGTCTACATAAATGGTAGCTATTATTATTAAAACTGCATATTGGGCCCTCTGCCCAACAGCCCTTTCATTGACAGAATTAAAGGGAACCTTAGAAATTATCTGGTTTCCCCTTGGGGGAAGAGGAGAAGGGAGTAATCATTTAAATTTTCATTGTACAAATGAAGAATCTTAGGCCTAGAGAAGTTAACATTTTATAATCATAACTCACATTTACATTACATTTACAAAGTGCTTTTTGTATACTCTCATTTAATACTTTACATAGCATTTTAAGGTTTACAAGGCACTATATATACATATATATATGTATATATATACACATATATATTATCTCAGTTGATCCTCACAAAAATCCTGTGAGTTCAGTGATGTTATTATTCCCATTTTTTGATGAGGAATCTGAGCCTAACAGAGGTTAACTGACTTGTCCAGAGTCATACAACTAAGTGTCTAAGGTAAGATTTGAACTCAGATCTTTCTGATTCCAATCTAGTGTATCATCAGAGGTTCCCAACATGGGTGATACCATCCCCTTGGGGGTGCTGGAATGATCCAGGGAGGGTGGTAGTAGCCTCAGTGCAATTGGGGGGGTGTGTTGAATAAAAATAAGGGGACAGTAGAAGCATAAGGAAAAAAGATAAGAAAATTTTGAAAAACCATTCATACATGTTTCATCTGTTGTGTAACAGAGTTAAGTCATAATGATCACATTATTTTCCAAATAAATACACAAAATGCAAGTTATAATCAATCAGTGGTCAAATCTGCTGACAGGTCTTAACAAGCATGTGTTAGCAGGCAAGCATATCATGCATTGTCAGGAAGTCCAGAATGAATAGGCAAGAATATGTGCATGTAATGACTTGTTTATAATACAATACTGTATGGTTATATAACACAATATTGCATCAACAAAATTTCAATGCAGAGAAAAAATCCTCAAATTTACAACAGATTATTAAATTTAAGATGTATCATTTTAAAAATTATATATATATATTTGAAATGATGCAAATTTTTTTTAAAAACCATTAAAGGGTTAAAGAAAGTAGATTTTACAGGAGGGTGCTAAGTAATTTTTTTTAAAAAGGGGACAGTAGGCTAAATAAGTTTGGGAACCTCTGCTATAACCCAAGAGGTCATAGTATCCCTATTTTACAGATGAAGGAAGTGATGTTCAGAGAGTTTAAGTGATTTGTCCACATAGCCCATGGCACAGATAGTACTAGAACACAAGCATCCTTCTTTCAAGTTCTTTCTACTACATCCAACATCTTACCATTCTTTTTTGGGCTTGAAACTAAATTAAAATGAGAGCTAACTATATACGTATACAATTTTGGATTTGTGGCTGACTTCCTATCTCTTTTGGAGAACTCAGTTCTAACTCGGTATTATTAATTATGCATGCCCAAGTACATCATTAACTAGTCAGATCTTTTAGATCTAATTTATTTCCTAAAATTATGCATAAATATGTCAAGCAACCAGAAGCAGTGCCATTGATACCCTCAGATTCTGAAAGACTTACTGTCCACTCTTAAGGCCTTGGTTTGGTCCTTAGTAGCAAATTCTCACTGGAAAAACGATTCATTATTTGTAGGTGATGTACTATGATGACTAATTACATGAACACACTTCAATCATTAATGTTAACAAATAGGCTTTCCTAAAAAGCAAAAACACTAGTTTTTGGCAGCATTTCAGGTCTTTAAAAATGGATAATTTAATGACTACAATAGTTTAGCTTCATTTTGGGCTCCACATGGTAAATACTGGCATAGTTCACAATGCCATGATAATGTTGGGGTTGTATAGTTATCTATAAACAAGCATTTATAATGCACATTTCTGCCAAAACAACAACAGTAACAAGGAGAACCCTAGTGAGTGATAAAGGATGTCTCTGAGTCAGTTTCTTCATCTTTAAAATGTGTATAAATATACTTATCCTGCCCCTTTAGAGAGTTGTCAAGGGGTAAATGCTTTCTATACTTCAGAGAAATGAGAATTATTTTTTACAGCATGTAAAAATGAAGAATAAGACACGCTAAGTGCACAAAGCTCTCTAGTCATTTTTTCTTCACAGATTCTTAAGATGTTTAAAAATTTTGAATGTGAAGACTATTGAATATGAAGAGTTTTAATTCTGAAATATTCTCCATCCCTGTAAAATGATAATAGTAATTTAACGTTATGATAAAGATGATGATTGTTAATATTTATAATAACGCTATAGTTAGTGTTTATGTGGCACTTTAAGGTCGGCATAATGCTTTACAAATATTATCTCATTTTATCCTTACAACAACCCTAGGAGGTAGATGCTTTTATTATCCCTTCTTTATTGATGAAGAAACTGAGGCACACAGGGGTTAAGTGACTTGCCCAGGTCACATAACTAATAAGCGTCTGAGGCAGGATTTGAACTCAGGCCTTACTTGATTAGAGGCCTAGTGCTCTATTTACTCTCCCATCTAGCTGCCTCCTATTGCAATGTGTAAAAAACTATCTGCAGAGGGTCTGTTGGAACTTGTAATTCAAGATCTCAGGAATACCTCTCTTCAATAATAAGACCTTGGGGCGTCAGTCTTACTTGACAAATAGCCAGTAAAAATACTTTCTGAAAAATTTCATAGATTTGTGTTTTAGTGTCCAGTTTTATGTTTTTCTATAATTTTTAGTAACTATGTTTTTCATTCTGGTGACAGATTCTATGGTAGATACTTTCTATGCTATTGGACTTGTGATGCGCCTTTGCCAGTCCCTTTCTCTGTTGGAGCTGGTGCACATATATGTGGGAATTGAATCAGATCGGCTTTTGCCCAGGTTTCTGCAGGTATGTTTGAATTAAATCTTTAGATAATTTAGAGAAAATCTGTTTTAGATTATGAACTTATGCCATTGAAATTGTTAGAAAATCAATCATTACCTTAAGTCACTGCTAACTGGAATTAATTCCATATTAAGTCAAGTCAACAAACATTTATTAAGAGCCTACTATATACTCAACACTGTGCTAAGTCCTGGTGAGGCAAAGAAAGTCAGAGACAGTCTCTGACATCAAGGAACTCATAATCTTATGGAGACAACATGCAAATGATAACTTACAAGCAAAAGACAATAAAAGATAAGTTGGAGATAATATTGGAGGGAAGGTACCAGTATTAAGGAGGATTGGAAAGGGTACTTGTATAAGGTGAGCTTATATCTAGGACCTGAAGGAAGTCAGAAATGAAGAGGAAGAGAATTCAAGCCATGGTGGACAGCCAGTGGAAACACCCAGATGAAGTGCCCTGTTCAAGAAATAGCAAGGAGGCCAGTGTCACTGGAGGGCAGGGTACCTGGAAGGAACTAAGGTGTAAGGAGATTGGAAAGGTAGGAAAGGGCCAGGTTATGAAGGATCTTAAAAGTCAAACAAAGGGTTTTATAATTGATCTTGGAGGCAACAGAGAGTCACTGGAGTTAATCAAATAGGGGTGGGGATGGGGAATGATCAGACGCACACTGCAGGAAGATCCATTTGTTAGCTGAGTAGAGGATGCACTGGAGTAGAAAGAAACTTGAGGCAGGAAGACCAAAATCAGAAGGTATGAGGTGATGAGGGCCCAGGGTCATGGCAGTGTCAGAGGAGACATGCCTTCATTCTAAAGTAATGGCTTTTGGTTGGAGTAACCACTGGGACGCTGGTAGAAATCTTAGCCTGTTGGGCAACGGTAGGTGTTGCTTTCTGAATATACCATTGTGTTGCTGTGTTGGCCTGTGCCAGAGAGAGATGTTTAACAACCATTTCCACTCCATCTTCTCTATCCCTACCTACTATATATTCTGAGAATAGAGTACCCTTCTGTTCTGTGTCACCATACCACCCCTTCCTCAGTGAAGTAATGGGCTTTCAGGGCAGAATGGAGAATATCATAGAGAAGTATTAGCTTTGAGTAATGGGAATACAGTTAGAACCAGAGAGGTCACATACACATATCCCTTCCACATCTCTAGTTTCCCCATCACAGTTTCAATATATCGGGGGTTAGCATAAGAAATAACTGTAAATGGGAATTTTGGGGGAGTGTTGCAGAAGCCGCAGTATTTTTACATAACATTGACCTGCATATAGCCTATGACCAAATACCTAAGCCAAATTTTACAATAAGGTACTGTAAAAACTCCATAAAAGAAAAAAAAATTCAGACTTCTTCTCTGGTACAAAGGGAGGGCCAAAAAATTTCATAAAGATTTTCCAAATTGTGGGGGTACACACCCCTAACCCCCGTGACATGGAAGGGATAGCTATAGTCCAAATTTCTCTTTGTACAGAGACGCCCAGAGAGGTGAACTGAGTCTGAGCAATGTCACTGACAGAGGCCAAATATCACAAACATGATTACATTGCCCCATTTTGGCAAGGACAGGAGGGAGTAAAATTGAATGGTAGTGTTTTCACAGAGAAGGAAGGAGACTGGAAGGGAATGTGAATGTATGCGTATAAATATGACTAAAACTAATTTGAAAACTAACTTGGAGATTTCCCTGGGAGAGGAATGAAGGGTAGAGATAATAGATGGGAACAGAGACTGGATCTGGGATTTCATCAGAGAACTTGCAGCTGAAGAAACTCCCTCTACCAGCGTAGGTTGACATCTCTGCAAACCATATAGTCTTAGAGAGTCACCTAGAGCAAAGAGAGATTAAGTCACCTTGCCCAGGGTCACACAATCAGCATGTGGCAGTGATAATGATGCTTTGAATAAGAAGAGGAGGAAAAGAAAGAGGAGGAGGAGAAAGAAGAAGAGAAGAAGGAGGAGAAGAGAGAAGAGAAAGAAAGAAGAGAGTGCCAGTGAAACATTTCTAAAAATACACAAAATGAAGGAAATATAGAAGGTAAGTCAGACAAGAATGGTAGTGTGGGTACTACAGAGTAAAATTTAATATATACTTTTAAAAAACAAACTGTATGTGATAGAAATTCATACTTTCATATGTGATAATCATTTCTTTATATATGGAAATTTTAATGTTTGATATTTGTTAAGTTCTTAATTTAAACAATTTTAAACTGACAAAAAAAAAGAAGGTTTTGAGAGTGTCCCAAGTTGGGAGAGGGAGGAATCAAAGCGTATTAGAATTCAGCTAAGTCATAGATCATGGCAGAACAGGTATAGAGTTTTTGCATGTGAGTATCACTTGTGATATTTAAATATTCCTGACAAATTATCAAAGGATTGGAAGCTATATAAAGTAATAAAATCCTAGAGAGTTTATGATACTTTGTCATTTCCAAACTGTGGAAATTTAATTTTAGAGATCTGCAGAAATGATGTTTTCTATGACTAATGCATTTCAACTGTTGACATGTAGGAGTAAAAGTACAAAACAAATATTACATCAATGTCGAATACGACTATCACAGAAGCTAATTCCAATTAAGAAATATTTTTTAGCTAAGTCGAATTCAGATGTGTTCTCTTGAATCTATTTCCTTAAAAAATTGTAATTGATATAGATCTGACACAAGAGATTGATGTTTTATAAAATTTAATTTTACTAGGGTTGTGACAGTCAGGTCTCTTTTGCTTTGAAATAAGACAGAATAGAAAGCCTGCCTTCATAATGATGGTGAACATCGTTAGTGACCCATGTTATTTAAGAAGCAAACAGCCATTCCATGTATTTGCCTCATTCAGTGGTAGGGAAAAGGAAGAAATATTATTCTAATACCATATAATGATGTGCCGTATTTTAACTGTTTTCTATGGCTTGGTTTTTTGGCAATGTAGTAGAATAATTATGTTATACTGGTTTCAGAGTAAAATCATATTTTAAAAATTCAATAGATGGATATATTACTGGTCATGCATATGTAAAGAATATACCTTATACCCTTAACTTGCTTAATTTTCATTATTTTCTCCTATACTCTATTTTTACATTTAGGCTCCTTGGTTGTTGTTGTTGTTTTTTTGTTAGTTTGTTTTTTTCGTAAGAGATCAAACTTTCCATTGCTACCTAGCTAAGTGTTAGGGAAATATAGTCAACATTGTTATACCGTGTGCCAACCACTTTTTAAATTTTCAACATTTTCTGACTAGCATTTGGGGAGGGAGGTGTTGGTCAGGCAGTCAATAAGCATTTATTTATTGTCTACTATGTGCTAGCAGGGTTAGGGAACCTGTGGTCTCTGCCACGTGTGGCCTTTCTTGGTGCTGAGGGGTCAAACATGGCCTCGAGGTCACAGGTTCCCTACCCCTGTAGGTAGGCACTGTGCTAAGCACTGGGGATAAAGAAAAAGGCAAAAGTCAGTCCTCTCCCTCGAGGAATTCACAATCTAATGGATGAAGAATAGATGAATTAATAGGATGAGGGAAAGGAAAAGGAAAGGAAAAACAAGGTATAACCTTTGGGTTAGGGGGGAAAGACCATTTTCATTATTATTAGTAGTAGTAATAATAATAGATTTCTATGGTGTTTTTAAGTTTGTAAAGCGCTTTACATATGCTATTTCATTTGCTCCTCACAACTACCCTGTGGGGTAGTTGCTATTATTATCTCCATTTTACAGATAGATAAAATGAAACTGGCAGAGATTTAGTGACTTGAACAAGGTCGCAAAGCTACTAAGAGTCTGAAACAAGATTTGAATTCAGGTCTTGCTGACTTCATATTCAACCCTCATATAGACTGTGCCATCTAACTTCCTGGGCAGAATATTAACTTTTTAAAGGTTCATGTCTTCTTTGAAAGTTTTCAAGTTGACATGAAGCATGATTAAGGTTTTGCCTTTCCTTCCCCCTTTATTCACATACTTCTCTCCATGTTTTTTTAGCAGAATGAAATAGGACCTGGAGAAAACTTCAAAAACTATAATTTCCTCTGTAAAGCTTCCCTCTCTTCCATTATTCTAAGAGCCATAGTTGAACAGAAGACTGATTGCTTTATTCCCTGCTCCTATAAAATATGTTGAGAATTGAGGCCACACTAGGGCCCCCTAATTTTTTTAAAACAGCAAAATTGTGTAATAGTTCTTAGCTACTCCTATTCCCTATTTCTTTTAAAAGAAAAAAAAACTCAGAACAGATATTGGTTAAGTTCCTTGTGTAAGAGTTAATCATACTTGATTAGAAAATTACATGAGGCTGGTTAATTTCAAGAAGTAAGCAAAATAAGTCATTGTAATTGTTTTTAGTAGTTGGCATTAATTTTTAAATATAAGATAAACCTTTGCTGTCTAGCCTTTGTGAGAACTTGCAAAAAATCCAAGGTGAGGCACTCTGTCTGCAGTGTTTTTTATTGTATTTTCTAAGAAGTCAAAGCTGACCCTAGAAATGAAGGCCCCTTTATCATCTGGTTGAGCTGCCAGATGTGGGTTTTCTTTCTTTTCTTTTCAAAGGCCTTACTTTATCTGACAGCTGGGGAAAGCCATTATGACTTTCTGAAATTATACTCAATTTAAATAAGTGTTCTACAGCTCAGTAGAGAAAAAGGGAAACAAAAAAGCCTAAACTTAGCAGAATAGTCATCAATATATATTTCATGAGTTTTTTACATGTAGGGATAAAAGAGTCATTTGCAAAACAAATTTTTATTTTGTGTCTTTTCATGGCCTGAAAATGATTTATAGAAGTAGTATGTATTGAACTGGCCTAGGAGTCAGGAAAACCTGGGTTCAAATCTTTCCCATGATGCTTCCTTTTTGACTATAGGCAAGTCACTTAACATCTTCTAAGAGTTACTTTCTTTATCTTTAAAATTGAGACAAAAATAATCATAACATTGATATAGTACCTACTATGTGCCAGGCACTGTGCAAAATGCTTTACAAATATTACTCCACAATGACCT